CACTTTGAAATTTTAGTGGCCCGATCGGGCCACCAAATTTTAACTTTTGGAAATTTTGGTGGCCCGACATGAAGTTTTGGTGGCCCCGGGCCACCGGGCCACCTCTAGTGTCGAGCCTTGTATATATTATTAGAGATCATAAATAATCACATCAGCCATGTATTACACTGATCATCTTTTATCACTTATCACACTTGTTAATACAATACATTTACACTCAAACATTCATATTTTACAAATTCAGATATATTATCACCCTGTGAAAAAATAGTATTATTTTTAATTATGGCAATATCATCCATTATATTAATCACTTAGTAACATACCTCACTATCTGTCATCTTCCTGTAGTGCATATCAGTTACACACGCATCGAAGCAAGTCTGAGTGACATTGTTGTACAACTGCAGGAAATCCCGAAACTGCAATTTGAAAATTCATGATAAAATACTTGTATAACAGTTATATTGTTATTGATCCATAACATATTGTGAATTTGGAAATTAACATCCTTCTTTTGCAATTCCATAAATAGTAAATCCTCAAGCTACCCTTACCTATGGAGTTGCTCTTCGCTCTGCAACAGGAGCCTGTTGCAAAGTGAAGCACTGAAGGGCAACAACTACAACAAGTACGATTTGTACTGCAAACGTCCCAATCCTAGTTTAGCACATATGCGAACTATACTGATGTTCAAAACTAGGATTGAGCAGCAGCTAGTATCTAGTCAAAAACAACCGGGCATAAATTATTATTATGTTCTACTACTAGTTATAAAAAGTAATATAATTCATTCCCCACCCCTTAGCAAAATTAATAATTATAAGTACGGTGGTCAATAATCGTCCTGTGCCTGTCATAATTGCCTGTGCCTGTGGTTAAAGAACCAAGCAAAATAAAACGGCTAACAGGCTACAGGCAGTCCACTACTACAGAGTGGCTGGTGGTACGGCAGCCGTATCTCCAATTTACGAGGCTGCAGGTACGGCAGTCCATTTGCATATGCGTCGCTTTCCCACAAAATAATGCCGTTGGAAATTAATTAGGGGTGCACCGGATCCAACCTTTTAAGTTCCGGCAGGAACCAGAACCAGCCGGAACTTAAAAAAAGTTCCGGCTGGAACTACCTGGCCGGAACCGGAACTGAAGCTGTGAATAAACTTGACAGTTTTAACTGGCCCAGTAATTGCGCAAACTCATTCGGCCTGAACAAAACATTATTAGCAGGCACATCACTCAGGCGAGTAGGACAATGCTCATTGTTCTACATGTTCTCATTATGTCACATGTTCTCATTATGTCACATGTTCTCATTGTTTACATGTTCACATTCTACATTGTTCTCATTGTTCTCAATGCTACAAAGTTCTAATTACAGGATGGTTGTTGTGTGTATGAATCATCTGCTTACAGTGCATAACTCTGGCATCTTATTCGCGAGCGAATTGTGTGGCAAAACCTGCATGTTGCAGTATCCCTGGTTTTAGTCGATTATTTTCAACTAACAAACAGATGCCATTCCTGTGGCTCTAAGAGTATTTTATTTTAAAAGAAAATCTCGTGAATCACCTAACATCAGTTAGGTTCAGTTCAGTTAGCCGATGTTCAAGTGGCAAACGTTTTCTGGGCAGAATAGTGTAAAGTTGTTAACACTATATTGTCAGCAAGTTGTCTCTATTGATGCTCAACTACATTCAGTGACTGATCTTTTGATCTTGATGACGCTTGTAGCAGAAATGAAATTAGGAAAAAGTTCCGGTTCCGGCCGACTGTTCCTGAAGGGTTCCGGCCAGAACCGGAACTTTGAAAAATTGGGGAAAAAAGATTAGTTCCAGCCAGATCCAAGTTCCGGTGCACCCCTAAAATTAATTCACGATTTAAGAGTTTTGATGCCCCATATATAAGTTATAACTTATAAATATAAGAATCAAGATAGCCGAGCAGGTATGAATTCAGAAATATAGGGCAGTGTTACTGTTAGGTTTAGATTTAGGGTTAATACCTATCATAGACAGTTTTTGCAGTCACGTGGAGGCGACGCGTGCGCAAATTGACTGCCGTACCCGCAGCCTCGTAAATTGGAGATAGAGTTGCCGACTCGCACCTCCAGCCACGGCCGCACTACTACTGTACTGGCTGTCAAGTGCTGTCAGTGTCAGTGTCGCTGATAGGGTCTATGTCCCCCAGGGTACTGCCGGAACTTTTGACGGCATTTACAGGAAATTGTCGTCGTCGGCAATATTAAATAGATGAATGAAAGTATAGAAACATTAAGACTTTGGAGTTTGGTAGTAAATAGATTTCGTATTTATTTAGCATTATATATATTTTTTTTTCGCTAGTACTAGTACTACTACTAGTAGTAGTAGTGTCATGTAAATAACGTCAAATACGACAATATTGAATGCGAACTTACAACTTACAAGTTATCTCAAGTTCCTATCTGCTAATGTAATGCCGTGAATAGAATCTTGCCATAAAACATTGGAATGTAAGGTCTGTGTTAGTAGTGCTACCTATATATCATGTACAATCACAAGTGCATAGTACTGTGACACTACTAATCTATTAGTATTACACGACACACCTCCGGTACACGTACTAAAATAGCGACATGTCTCACTTCACTTTTTGCGCACTGAAACAAGTGAGCGACAATACCGAAAGATGTCGCTAGTGTCCAGTGTCCACTGTGTGGTTTTTTAGTTGTGAAATGCGAGATAGTTACCTTTGTAACTTCTTTTGTATCTCCGTCTCTGATTAAACTAAACAAACTAAATTTTTCGCCTAAGAGGTACCGGGAAAGCTGATCTAATACTAATAGTAATACTAGTGTTTAAGTAGGTGGCTAGGTGTCTTTAGAATTCACTGTAACCATGGATGAAGCTGGCGTTAGAAATGTAAGTCGAACCACGACTGACACTGACGCTGATAGGGTCTATGTCCCCCAGGGTACTGCTCATCGCCAACAAACGCTGGCTGCCGCTGCACACTGCCACATAAATATATAGCAGGTATGAAAGCGTGCTGCCAAAATTTGCTTGACGCTTGCTTGATTTCACACGAATACAACACAAATATTCTTGAAACCATTCTACTCCATCTGTGTTTATATTTGAAGAACAGTGTTCACTTGTTATAAGAACATACTGTGTGTGTTCGTAACCGAGCTGTGTCACGCGAAATCACACAAAACCTAACGAAATTCTCGCGTTCGCTCTTGTTGCGCAGTTTATGTAAATGGCTGTCGGAATCAGGAAACACCCACCGGCGCTCTTCGTGACCTCGTTTTTGCAACGCTTCACTGGCGGCTTTGACGAGGCTCGTACGGGAGTTGGAAAGCAGCGTGGTAGTTTCTCAAAATGCAGTGCGCCGCCTATAGCCCTGTACTTGCAGCCATTTACATAAACTGCGCAACGGGAGCGAACGCGAGAATTTCGTCAGGCTTTGTGTGATTTCGCGTGACACAGCTCGGTTACGAACACAGACAGTATGTTTTTATAACAAGTGAACAATGTTCTTCAAATAGAAACAAAGATGGAGTAGAATGGTTGAATATTTGTGTTGTATTCGTGTGAAATGAAGCGTGATTTGTGTGAATTTTGGCAGCACGCTTTCCTACCTGCTATATATTTATGTGTCAGTGTGCAGCGGCAGCCAGCGTTTGTTGGAGATGAGCATTTGGATGGCATTTACAGGAAATGGTCGGCAATAATAGGTGAAAGAGAGTATAGAAATT